GATTAAAAGAAGCCGTTTGATCAACATTGGATATTCCATGATTGTCTAAAAGATGAATAAGATGGGTTATGAAACAACTTGCACTGGAACTTCAGCAGTCAACCGAATTGCTTATAAGATTATTATTATTGTTTCTTGAATGAAGCTGAATTTTGGAGCTTTTGCCTTCATCGAGGCTTGGAAAGCCAAACTCATGGTTAATTTCCTCAAACGTCTTTTTTAGATGTGCCTTCGTAACATGACCAACGAAGGGAAATGTGAACGTCGGCTTATCAACCAAGTAACAACTTGATCAACTGCTTAGTAAACTTAAAAAGTGTTGAATGCAAGACATTAACAATAGCTGAGCATGTACAGTTTTGAATAATCCATTAGATAAAATTTGAAAAAAAGGGTTACAAAATGACTTGTGTCAAAATTCGGATTCGTCATGAGTGCCGACTTGATTTCGAATGGGCCTAAACCATTCTCGTCAAACAGTTGTATTACTGCTGTTCTTCCAGCAAAAACACTTTCGTACGTGCCGAACATGCAGGCCTGACAGTTGTAGTCCATCTATAAACAGAGAAAGCTCTGGATATGTCTCAAATTTAACAAATCTGACAACAAAAGTAGAGCATAAATTTTGTAGAATATAGACGGTTTGGACTTGAGCTCTGAGCGCAGATATTTACCAATATGTCAGCCAATCCAACGCTACGAGTGACAGCCAGCTTCCTTTCGTGAAGAAGAGCAAATTGAGCTGGAGTTAAAGTCAATTCTTGCGAAGCAGGACATCGTAATCGCAGTGTAGATAAACGAAGACATCTACAGATGAACAATTCATATGACCAAGATAAAGGTTAGGTTTTATACTCACTTGGTGAACTCGACATCATAAAACAGCTTCTTCAGTCCCATTTCGATAGGCTTTACGGGAACGTCTGGAGGATGAATAACGTCAAAACCATTCTTTTCAAGCTTTATGTCAACGCCCAGTGTGTCCTCATACAGCAGAATTTCATGCATTCCCGTTCGAGCTTAAGCATAATCTTTATTGTTAAGGTGAAGAAGACTTTGCACATGCTTACATGCTTAAGAACGACAAAAGAAATACTTTTTTTGAGAAACCTCTTTAAAAGTGGAAAAAGATATTGTATGAAAGCTGTAAGCGCAGGATCGTCCTTTAGTTCCAATTTATTAGCTATCAAAAAATGAAGTTAATTGAGCATATTCATAGAAAAATATTTCAAAGGTAGCTGGTAGTCCTATAGAAAACCCGAGCAAAAAAAAATTACCAGAAAGAAACTGCAGGAAATCATCGGAAGCCTCGAAAAATGTATGTATTGTCTCTGGTTTTACATCGGCACTAGAGAGAACCGTAGAGTCTAAACGAGGATTTACTTCATATACATATTTTTAGCTGTTTATCTACAACTTCAAAAAAAAAACAAGTTTGGCAAAACCCCCTTGCTGTCTACTTAGGACACATACAAAGATATCTTATTATTCATCTTGGTTCCTCAAAACACTTCCAATAAAAGTGCGGATCGGTTTATATGTTTATCTTGGCGCCCCGCACGCTAACAATAATTTTTTTCTCTTCAATGTAGCAGTTGGAGCTGGAAAAAATATGAAATCAACCAAAGTACTATGTATTTATATGGCATTAGGACAACCAAATTGTTTTTTTTTTAAATTAACTCGGAACAACATAATTCTTCTAGTTTCTGAAAGGATAAGATTGCTCCAATTTTTCCGAACAGTAAAGCTTAAAAAGACATTTTGAACGTTTTTATCAGTAGCTAGTTATTAGGTTTGCAGCAGGTTTCTGACAATCCATTTGCTGAATTTTTCCTGCATTATCTCCCCAAATGGTAAATGCTGTCAGAGCACATGCAAACAATTCCACCCTTCCTTTCAATACTAGAATCCTTCCTTGCCATAAAATGACCGCACCGCGTTATTTATCCCCTGCACGTATGTTTCTCAGGCATGAGATGTATGAGATGATCTAAATGATCTACAAACTGCAGATGTAATGCGAATATCCAACCTGAGA